CTTTCTAGAAAGATTACACAAATGTGCCTGCTCTGAATTAAAAAAAGAAAGGAAAAAAAAAAAAAAACCTTTGTCAACCTGATAGGCAAAAAGTTCCGATTCGTTTTATATGTACTGCGTTGATTATTGGTGAAGTTTCGGATTTTTCAATTTGTGTTTCTTCTTTTGTAAGCAGTCCATATTCTTTATGTATTTTTCAGTGCGCTGCTTTCTAAACTTAAAAAGGCCTTGGATATTAATATATTGATGATATTACCCCTCTGTCAAACTTAGGGTAAATATTTTCCTGAATTTATTTGTTTTTTAAATTTTATTTGTGGGTTTTTTTTTATTAGAAAAAGTTTTAAATCTTTTTTAGGGTTTGGTATGTTTTAGGATTGAGTTTGGCAGCAACCAACTGAAGAGCCAGCTAATAGTTACACAGAGAGGAGTGATCTATCTTGAGCCACAGGTCTTGGGGACGCCAGGCAGGGCTAACACAATGGATGTAAAATGCCCCCAGAGACCCAGCACTTTCCTCTTTCTGCTTTGCCACACTTTGCTTGTTGCCTCAAGGTTGCAAGATGGCTGCTCCTACTCCAGACACCGTGTCCTTGTCCCAGGCAGGAAGAAGCAGGAAGGCCCAAGGGCCAAGGATCTTCTTTCAAGTTTTGACTCTATTCCAAAAGAATAGAGTCAACCCTCCTGGGGCTGACATCTTACTGGCATGAACTGAGTTGTGTGGCCATGCCAGCTGCAAGGAAGTCTGGGATGTCAAGTAATTTGCTTGAGGAAGGTGGAGGAGAGGGCGTTTATGAAAAGCTTTTCTCCATCCGATTCCCTAGGGCCTGCGGCGTTATGTTGTTGGAAGAGGACTATCCAGGGCTCTCGAGCTTTGATGTGCATGTAATCATCCAGAAATCTTGTTAAAATGCGGATTATGATTCAGTAGGTCTGGAGTGGGGGCTTAAGATGCTGCATTTCTAACAAGCTCCCAGGTGGTGCTCTATTAGTTAACTGTTGTTATATAACAAACCAACTCTCCCCAAACCCAGAGGCTTAAAGCAACCGCTGTCTTATTTGCTGATCCTTCAGGTCTTGCCTGGGGTTACTCAGAGGGCTGCAGGCGCCTGGCAGATTCACTGAGAGCCAGTAGCCTAGAATAGCCTCGTGTGGTGGTTGAGACTGGCCGTCCGCTGGGCCTCTCTTTCCAGGAGGCCACTCGTCCTCCAGCAGTCCGGCCCCACACGGTAGTCTCAGAGTTCCGAGAAGGTGAGAGAAGTCCTAGGGAAGCCTCTTGAGGCCTAGGCTCGGAGGTCCTGCAGTATAGTGTCATTGTGCTGCCATCCACCCGTCAAAGCTGCTTCACCCCAGATTCACAGGGCCGGGAGGTAGCTCCCACCTTCAAACAGAGGAGCCGCAAAGCACCTTTTGCAGAGACACGTGCAGAGAGGAATGGAAGGGCTTGTTGTAGCCCATCTTTGCCAGTCACCTGCCTCAGATATGAATGCTGCTTGTCTCTGGACCCGGTCTGAGTGGCCAAGATGGAGAGAACCATGGTTCTCTCCATCTTGGCTGCCGGAGGACACCTGCAGGAGCTTTCAAAAATACTAATGCCCGCTGAAGGTAAAGGTACATTGGTCAGGCCATAAGTCTGCTTTATAGGTCCCAGGTGACTCTAAAGTGTAGCCTCGGTTGACAGCCACTGCTTTAGAAGTCTCTTAAGTAATTCCCAAGCCTCCAGTCGAGTGTCTGGATGGAGGGTAGTGAGTACAAGACGAGCTGGTTGGGGTGGGAAGAGCATGGACGAAGTGAGTTAGGGAAGAGTTGAGGGGTTTTGGGGTGAAAAGATCAGCAGGCAACTCAGAGATGAGTCTAGAACTCCAAAAACAGGTTTGCACTGGACATGAAGCTTTGGGAGTTATGAAAGAAGTGATTAAAGCTAGGGTTCTGTGGAACACACTTTGGCAAACCCTGGGGACACATATAGCAGGTCCCCACTGGTGGAAGCTTTGATGGCCAGTCAGTGCCTAGAAGGCAGGGATGGGGCGCAGGGCTGCTCAGAAAGATGGCAGGCACTTCCAGGTCAGTGTAGTGGTGGCCACAGCCATCTAGCCACTCAGCCAGCGTTGGTGAGCACCAGCCAAGGGCCTGGCACAACTAAATGACCATGGAGCTGTCTCGTGGACCCACTGCGAGGACAAGCACGAAGTGGGTGACACCGTCAATGTGCTGGGAGAGGAGGCATCTCAGAAGCTTGTGTTGGCCTCTCAAGCGGGGACCACCTGGGACACGCTTCCAGGAGCATAGGGGCTGCTCATGGGGAAAGTTGATCTCTAACCGCTTGTGCCTGTCCTATGGGCTGGGGAAGGGGATGAAGGTAGCGCCTCACCTGGTAGGGACCAGGCACTGTGCCAGCTTGCATGTGTTTCCTGCAAGTGCAGCCAAGAGGACAGGTCGTGTGGAGCTTTGGTTAAGAGCTTGGCCTCTGGTGCTACAGACCCTGGGTTCAAGTCTCAGTTCTGCTACTTTTGGTGTGATTTGGAGCACATTTAACTTTCCTGAACCTCAGTTTCTCTTTTATATATCATTCCTGTGAAGGCAGAACATGTGAATCCACATTCAGCACCGGGGTCAAAGTTAGCTGAAGTGAATGTTACATTTTGCTTTTGGTGAGCCTTATATCCACTCCTGAAAGCAGGTGTCCTGGGTTACGGATGAGAAAACTAAGCTGGAGGCGGGTCAATGACCTGCTCAAGGGCCACGGTGCGGAGGCAGTACGCAAACCAACCATAGGCCATCCAGGGCTGCACGGCTCCTGTAGGCCCTTCCTCCCTCCCTCCAGGTAGGGGGAGCACAGGCCCTACCCAGCCCCCCCAAGCCCATACCTCCACTATCAAATCCACTACCAAGGCCATCCCAGCCAACACTCCGATTCTCTTCTAGGCTGCGTCAATGACCGGAATAACCAGCTGAGGCAGCTGTTCCGCTCCCTTCAGAACCAGAAGAAAGCCTCCAGTTAGTCCTGGCTGCAGGGACAGCAACCCGACCAGGAGGTGCTCCCCCACAGTCTCCTCCCCACCCATTCCCAGCACAGTGGCACCTCCAAGCATTTACCTCCCTCCCTCTGGCCTGGCAGCAGCTTTGCACACTACCCACGCTACTGCCTGCTCTCTGCTTCTCTGGGTCCCCACCCTGGGCACCTCTGCACCCAGAGACAGCTAATCCCTGGGACTGGATGTGTTTTAACCTTGTGGGATTGGCATGGCTATTGGGCCCAGTGAGAACAGCTGCGGCAAGCCCTACTACTCCAGAGAGACCACATCTAATAAATGAGCACAGGCCTTACTTACTTGGAGTCACTGCACACTGGGCCCCGGCTCAGGGGATGCTGTTGGCTGAAGCCAAGTCCTCCCGGATTTGACCCTTTGATGTCTCAAAGGTTAAAACGATCCCTCAGGAGGAAGGATTCAGGGGCTAGGGAACTGGTCTTAAGGCTGACTTGCAAGCAGTTACTAGATTGTATTTACTGGGCTCTGGGGAAGGGCTGATTCTTAAGTACATCTTTGTCTCCTTTCAACACCCTGACCTGGTGTGTCAGGGAACTCATGGAGCTCCCCCAACCATCTGAAAACCAGTGGACCAGAACATCCCCATTTCTCAGATGGACAAGGTAAGGATCGGGAAGGCAGGGCTGCTTAGCAAGTGTCTTTGCAAAGGTGCACTCATCTGAGTCAGCTGGGTGATGCAGGTGCCTTCTGCGTCTTCCTGGGAGCTGAGCATTTTAAACCAGAAAGCCTTGGCTTGGCAGGAAAGGAGATGGCGTAGGGAGTTGGGCGAAAAGTCAAAAGTTCTGCATTTTCTCCATATTCCCCATTCCTAAGCCTCCTCTTGGTTTAAGAGAGATTGCCACAGGGCAGGCTGTGGGCGAACCGCTCCATGGGGGACCTATGGGACCCAGGTAGCACCTGTTGCAACTCTCCCTGCTGCTGCGTGACCGCTCTTGGGTTGCAAATAGCAGATTCTGACTGCCTAGAGAAGGGCTGGGTGTTTGGAAGGAAAAATACTGGCAAACCCCAGAAGTGAACCATCTAGACTTGGGAAGGCCAGAAGCCAAGCCACTCTGGGCCTCCTGCCTCCAGAGCGTGGGGACTTCCTTGCATCCTCGTGACAGAGGCAAGACCAGACAGCCCCAGACACAGGCTCCTCATTTCCAGGACAGCCAATCCGACTGGCTCTCCTTTGGCCTAGCCACCACCCTGCTAGACAGGCAGGCGTTAACGTTCAGATAGGAATCCTGGGCCAGGGACTGCAACAGCCATGTCCATGTGTCCTTGTCTTTCACCCTTGTGCTCCAACCCTGCAGCTTCTGTCTTTGGGACAGGTCAGGGGGGACGGGACACCATGAGGCAGTGTGTGCACACAGATGATTGGATTAGACCCCTCTGTTCACTTGCTTTTCTCGCTTACTACATCTTGGAACTTACTCGCAGGGAGTGCTTAGAGAGCTTCCTCATCTTGATGACAGTGTACCGTATTCCACTATCTGAAGCTATCCATTCCTTTAACTAGTCTACTATGGACAGACATCTAGCTTCCAATTCCATCTCCCCACTTTAGGGAAAGCACATGCTATTCTACTTAAACTCAAGATGCAAAATCAGGTATGGGCCAAATTTGGCTTATGTAAGGTGTATTGTTTGGCCAACACCCAAGTCTCTGAAAATCTCTGCATTAGCAATATTTGAAAGACAAAATTCAACTTAAAAATCCAAATTTCTAGCTCCTCTTGAAAACAACAACAAAAATAAAACATTAAGATCTGGCCATACCAGCCTATGTTCCTGAACCATTATGGGCTGGAGACAAGTGGGGTGAGGGGACCAGGTGAGGCCATTACCGTTGTTACTGCCTATCGAGTCCTGCCATCATTTCCCAACAGGAGCCACTGTCCCTTCGTAGGTGATGTCCTCAAGGCAATGTGCCCTCAATTAAGGACAAGATGAGGTAAAGAACAGAGCTACCGTTCATTCCGTTAGGAAACGTTTATTAAGCCCTCAGTGAACATGAAAGACACAGTGCTGCCCTCACAGCACACTGACCCCAGGATCGGAGAGCACGGAGGGCAGGCAGGAACTCTGAGCAGTCCAGCCCAGGCCTGCCTTCAGAGGCGGCGGAGAGCTATGTGAAGAGGCAGCTCCCTCCCCCACCCCCAGCGCAGGACTCCGCAAGGACTTTCTGACTCAACAGCAGGTGCCGAGTCTGCTATGCAGCACCTGCTCTGGGCTCCGTCCCAAGGGCAGGCAGGAAAAAAGGGCCACAGCGGAGGCCGTGGTGGGGAACGGCGTATCTGTCCCACAGATGGCTGCGGTGACCTATGAAGCACCGAGATTCTGTCCTTCATTCAGAAACCACCTGTGAGCCTCCCGCTTTACTCTAATTCCACTACATGCTGCTTGAGAATGCCTCTGTTCCTGAAAGGAATGCAGGAATGATGCTCCCTGCTGCTGCTGGGGGCCCATCTGAACAGCAGGCCCTTGTTAGAAGTGCCTGCTGCGGTCATTCTCACCCCCACGGGCACTGCCCCCGCCCATCGCTGGTGGCTGCCAAGGCCCATCAATGGGTCTTGTGTCCATCCAGCTCCAATGGTGAGACCCAGCAGACACTGGCAGGCTGAGGGCTCCCTCCTGCCGTCACAAAGTCACAATCCCCACAGACAGAGGCTTCTCATGCTCAGATTCCTGACACAAATCTCCTAGCAGTGTAGATCATGTCCTTGCAGGTTATGAAGCTGGAGAGTCCTGGGTCCTCCATGACCACAGGGGGAGATGCTGTCACAGGTCCCCCCATCATGGTTCTTAAGCTTCATCCTTTTAAAATGATCTTGAGAGCTTTAAGTTCATCCTGGTTGAGGGGGTTCAGGTTAAAACCCTTCAACTCTGGTTTGCCTAGGGGGAGAAAACAATCCATCAGCAAGTCGGGCCTCCTGTTGTCCTACCTCCTGCTGGCCCTGGAGTCAGGCCCAGGAAGGGGTTTTTGCGGCATCCATGCTGCCAAACACTTAGCCTTAAGGTCTAACAGGAAGGGCCTCGAGTTCTGCAGTGTACTGGACAAAGCACATAGTCCCCAAGAACCTGCAGAGTCACGACTGCTGCTCACAAACCTACTGATTGCTGCCACACCTGTGACCCGTCTGCAGTGGTTAGGGTCACCCAGAAGTTCAGCTCTGACCTTGACCATCTGACCTGAGGCCCTCTGAGTCCCCTCAGTCAGAGCCGTTCTGGTTCCTGTACCATGCCCCAGGATATAACACAAGACACCCCAGGCTGTTCCTCTTACGGCAGAAGAAAACTTGACACAGGAGTAACACCCCACAAACCTCTCTGTCCATTCCATCTCTGGGCAGCTATGACCACCACCCTGCCCACAGCCTCCGGGTGGCTCATGTGCCGCCCAGGCCCTCGCCCACCCACCTGGGAGAGGCTTCCCACCCGTGCTCTGTAAAGTCCATGTGGACAGTTCTCTCCCCTCCCGGTTTCCAGTTCCATCCAGGCCCATACCTTGGGCCTCAAAGAGGCGGTTAACCTTCACTTTAAGTTGTTTCCGGAGTTTCTCTATTTCTTTATCCAGATGACCCTGATCTGAAAAAGATGAGGTGGGCAGAGGATGGGGTTATACTACAGACACACTGACCCAGAGGCAGCTGGGGATGTCAGCTTTTCTCCAGCCTCCTTGAAAGCAAGGGCTCCTGGCATTTGGGAAGAAGGGGACCTCAGGGACCAACTGAGGAAGGAACTAAAGAGCTAGAGGAGGGAGGTGATTTGCCCAAGACAGCTAAGAGAGCCCAGGACAGGACTGAGGACCCACCTCCCTGTCCACTGACCTGTTTTCATTATGCAAAGTACCTTTGGCTGTTCAGGGGTAGGGAAGGCAACATCTGGACAGTAGGTCCCCCTCCCACTGTGAAATTACAGAATACTGAAACATGAGACCAGAATGAAGAACCTAGACCCAGCCCATCCCAGATGGTTGGAAAATGTGTGGCTAAGGAATCTCACAAACCCAAGTCCATCAAGGTGAGCAGTTTTTAAATAACATGACCGCGGTAACATGTGACCTAAACAATCAATGGGCAAGCCTGATGCTCAAGCTTAACCTAATTCACCGTGAACAGAAAAGATTATCTTGCCAAGATGGATGCACCTGAATGCAAACTGCACTGTGAGAAGTAGAGGCTACAAAGCTTGGTGATACAACTGCCTAATGTCACCAGACTCCACCTGCTCACGATGATAAGCTGGCTACTCTGTCCTCCCCACAGATTTTCGCTCTTTCTGATGGGGTGAACACCAGAGCAGCCAAGCCCTCTAGCCTGGGCAATGGTTCTGGCGCTCATGGTAAATGAGCAACCCTGGTCTCTTATGAGCTTGTTGAGCTCCCATCGACCCCTGAGAACCAGTGATGATAATGTCCCAGAACCCTTATAGGTATGGTGCCAAGACCACATTTGTGGGCCGAGACAGCTGAGGATCAAATCCGGAAGCCAGGCAAGTGACCCCTCTGAAAGCTCAGCCTGAGTGGCCTGCCCACCACTCAAGTGCAATGACAACTCTTAATTTTATAACTGTAATATTAGTGTGTATTTTCCAACAGGAATCTGGCAAGTTCTCTAAGTTGATACAGTCTCCTTTGCTAAAATTTTATTTCAACAAGGATAGAGAAATTCTGCCTTCAGGGACAGAGGCCACCTTGCTGGCCCTTTGGCACATATATTTTCAAGGGTAGGGGAAGAGAAAACATGCATAATCTTTCCTTCTTCCAGCCAAGGACACATCTGCACCTTAACCGTTTGCCTTTATGATGCTTCTCCAAAGAGCCTCCAGGATCGCGGTTGTGAAGATTTGAGTAACATGCTGAGTGCCCAGGCTGTGGCAGACCCTAGAGGCTTGCTCTCCCCAAACCTCCATTTTCAGTGCAGTCTCTACGGCAGGGCTGTGAAACAGAAAAGCGCACTCTGCCAGGCTCCCTTGCAGCTACAGGGATGGGGGGCACATGACGCAGTTCTCGCTAATGAGATGTGAGAAGTCTGAGGAGAACAGCAGTACTTCTAAACAGAAGGCAAGGCCATAAATGGAGAAAGCAAGCCCTCTGCCATTCCTGCAGGCTGGCCTATGGACATGAGGCCTGAGATGACACAGCCCCTCCAAGAATACATGAGGGTGACCTTGCTGAGTGTCAGTGCCCGTCCTGGACGGCCTACCTGTGAACAACTGACGAGAAAAACAGAACCAGATTTCCCAAACCTCCATTTATTGGGTTTTCTGTATTTGTGGCCCAGCTAGTTCCTCACTGATAAACAAGCACTAGGCTATGTACACACAGTTTTATCTCCACTTCACAACTGTGCTCTGGGGATGCATCCCCTCCTTCAGAGATGAGGAAATAACTCAAGACTGGCAGAGCAGGGATTAAAACCCACACCCGTCTGAGCCCTGTAATGCAGCTGCCTCTCATTAGATGGCCCAAAGCCTGACTCAGTTCTGGGTTAAGACCAAGGCTGGCGGGGGAGACATGTCCCTGACGCATCCCCAGAAGGCCTTACCTTTCTCAATCATTTCCTTCGTTTGAGAATGAGACATCTTGATAAACATGTTCCCGAAGCAAACCATCACATCTTCTGAAATGGCAAATGGTCACTCTGTCAACAAATATTTTTGAACACCTATTCTCTGCCAGGCTTTGCTTTAGATGCTGAGAACACAGTTTCTACCCTCATCGGGCTTATGATATAGTGGAGGAGAAGGAATAAATAAGCAAAGATACAATTTGTGAGACCCTGATAAGGCTAAGTACTCTGGAGAAAAATAAAGCAGGGTCAGAGGGATTGCCTCACTGATTATGTGACATTTGGGCAGAGATCTGAAGAAAGCGAGGCACAAACCCCACAGACATCTGAGGAAAGAGTGAGCTAGGCAAAGGAAACAGGAACAGCAAAGACCAGTAATTTGCTTGGGGTCTTAGGAACAGCAAGCAGACCAGTGTCAGACCTGCAACATTTTCTTCCTCATCTCCACAAGCTGTGTCACATATGTGAGGCTTTTGGTCTCTATTAGGGACAAGTTGAAAGCCTTGGAAGGAAAAAAACACACCTCCCGGGCTGTAGTGACAAAACCTTGACTTACCAGAGAGGCTGAGATCCTTCTGCAAGGCCCGTAGGCCCTCCCGGTTCTGATTTCTTTTGGTGTCCAGGTCCACAATCTGCAAAGCACAGGGGCAGGAGGGAACTCAGCTCCCTCCTGTCCCAAACCGCCACCTTCCAACAGACCAGGGGCTGTTAAAACCCAATAGAGACAAGGCATCATTCCTGGGTTTCTTCCAATGTCACGCCTAAAGCACACTGATGTGTAAATGTATTTCTTCCCCTATTCACTTTCCAGATCTTTAAAGACCATGCTCTGTGCAGGGTGCAGGTACTCTCCCCACAGAGAGTGCAGGGGAAATATTTGCTGATTAAATGGATAATTCATTATTATTCACAGGAGAGCTAATGCTCAAGCTTCAGAGCATTTCAGAATCAGGAGGGGAGTCAAAGCCTCCCCCTGGACAAGCTCCTCCAGCTGTTTCTGACCTAGCATCACAGAAGCTACTAAGGAAGTAAGGAGGCAGTACAGTTTCTTGAGAGCGTTGGCTCTGGAGCGTCTGCAATACCAAGTTTTGAATGTGAGCTGTGTAATTTCTCCTTCTGAGAAGTGGAGAGACGAATGGCACCTACCTCCCAGGTTACTGAGCCAGGAACTAAATGAGCTAGCATAGAACCTGACACACAGTAAGTGCTTGAGACATTTTAATCGCTACTTTATTATCATCACGCACACCCTGATGCAGTGTTTAATTTAATGGGCACTTATCCCAGTCTTCCACTTTTCAGTAAATACCCTACCAATCATGCAATTATTCTAACTGGAAATGAGGAGTCATGAATCATTCTCCACTCCTCCTACTCCCTCAACCCACATACTACCATCATCAAGGCCTACTAAACCCGCCTCCAAAATTTACCTCTGACCCACTCATTTGTCTTCATCACCACCTCCCTGGCCCAAACCCATCCCTCGCCTGAACTTTGGCAGTGGCCCCTCACAGGCCCCTTGCCCCCCCCTACGTTCTGTGCTCTACACGGCAGCCAGAGGAATCCTTTTACAGCCTAAATCCAGTCACATCACCCTCCTTTCCCCCAATAAATCTCTCCAAACACTTAGCACTTAAATTAGCACAAGACCCAGACTTCCTATGCAGGTGTACAAAGCGTCCCCACCTGCCCAATCTCAAGACTACTCCGGTCTCTTTTCTCTTCCTCTTCTGAGAGCCTTGGCGAAGGCAGTGCACCCACGGTCGGTGGGATGGGGCCTGAGGGGGAACTGCGTTCTGAAAAAGGTGTTCAGGTAAACCACACAAAGAGATAGTGGCTCGGGATCCGGAGGGCACGGAGAGTGGAGGAGGAACGATGGAGACACCGACGTGCTAATAAATACGTGAAGCGCGGCGCCGTAGCAGATGTCTGGTCCACCTTGCCTCCCCACCGCCCCACGTCTGTGGTCAGCGCCGTGAGCCCCACCAGCCCACTGGGATTCCGAAACCCGCACGCGGCCTACAGCGCTCGCCGCCAGGCCCCAACCGCCTGGGGCCCGAGTGGGAACCCCGGCCCCAGAGCCACAAACGGGCCTCCTACCTGCCGCTTGTCCGCCAGCACCTCCTCGGCGAGCTCTTCCACCTCCACCAGGTACCGCAGCACCCGCTCCGCCTCTGGTGACAGCATGGTGTCCGCCAACTCCGACTCACGCCGGGGGTTACACCGCTTAAACTCCGTTTGGGAGCGGCGTCGGCTGCGCACGCGCCTGGGCAAGGCTTCCGGCGCGCAAGCGCATTTAAAAGAACTGTGGTGCGCAGGCTCCAACTCGCAAGCGTCCGCAGGACGCGAGAGGCGGGGCCTAGCTTTGGGGGCGAGATTGGAGCGGCCCCTGCAGGCTCAGAGAGTGTAGTCCGCAGAGCGGCTTCCTATGCCTCCTACCACCCTTCCTCTGTTGAGCACCTGCGAGGGGCCAGGCAGTCTTAGGTGCTGAGGGTGCAGCAGTGAATAAAACATAGTCCCTGCCCTCGTGTAACTTCATCCGAGTGGGAAACACGACAGTTCATGACAAAACAAGTAGTTACCTACTATGGCAAGCAGTGATACGTGTTTTGGCATAATACAAATCATTCTTCCCCTGTCTAAGGAACACTGAGAAGGCCTGTGTATCAGTGTGACTTCTATTTAACCTCTGACACCTTCAGTTTCCAATTTATAAAATGGAGTGATACAAATCCCCCTCATTGTCTCTCTGCAGGATCAGAAGGAGGCAGGAATCATTTTTAAAATTCAACTTTGGGGGCGCCCGAGTGGCCCAGTGGGTTAAGCTTCTGCCTTCAGCTCAGGTCATGATCTCAGGGTCCTGGGATAGAGCCCCATATCGGGCTCTCTGCTCAGCAGGGATCCTGCTTCCCCCTTTCTCTCTGCCCACTTGTGATCTCTCCCTCTCTCTCTGTGAAATAAATAAATAGAATCTTTAAAATAAAAAAATAAAATTCAGCCTTCACCAGTATTTGTTAAACCTCTGTCTTGGGCCCAATGTCCAGAGCAGTTGACCTAGACCCAAAGAAGGGGCTGGAAAACCATGTGCAGTGAGCGATGAAGTGTCAGCTCAGTAAAGAAGTTCCATAAGTGCTAGAAAGCAAATCGGCGTGGGCCATGGGATTTGGAAGGACCTCCAAGAAGAGGAATGCAGGTGGAATGTGGCTGTCCTTCAGAACAAGAAGGCTCCCTACAGATCTTCATGCCCAAACCCCTCATTATACATGTGAAAAAGCTGAAGTCCAGAGGGAGGTGAGGATCTTACAAAGTCAATAGCAGACCTGAGACTAGAATTCTGACCTCCTGCCTCCCTGATTCCAGCTTTTTTATGCTCTCATTCGGTCCCTCGCAACCAAGCCCTTTTACATCCCTTGCCTTGTTTGAATTTCACAATTTGTGGAGAGATGGGTTATTACCGCCCATTTCATAGCTGTAAACTGAGGCCAGGAGAAAGGCAATGCTTTGTCACACAGAAAGTCAGGAGCAAATGTGTGTCTAGGTTCTGGTCTCTATACCACGGCTGTCTCTGAAAACAAAACAAAACCAAAAAAACCTCTCCCCCAGATTGTCGCCCCAGAAACTCCAATAGGAACTCCTCCTTGCCTGGCCTTGGCTTCCTTCAAGTGCCAGAGACAGAGCTAATTTTCTCTAAAGCTGCCCTGCCTGGGGAAAGAAGGAGCTTCATTAAGGATTCCTCACTGAGGGTGAATTTGTCGCCAAACCCAAGATGTTTTGTGTAAACACCTTCTGGTTCAGAAACGCAGGCACAGGCCCTATGAAGGAAGGAGGAAGATTTGCCAAAGGAGAAACAGGGCTTACCAGGCATCCCTAGGGCCTAGACCCCGGGACCAGGTCTCTTCTGAAGACATTGGGGCCCCAAGAGGGCTAGACCAGGCTGACCCTTGACCCCTGCCAAATGAGCCTGGATGGGGAAGGGTTAAAGTAGGCTCCCAAATTGACTGTGACTGTCCCTTAGAGAGCACTTCTGGCCACTGAAAGTGTTGGGGAGGGAAGTCATATGTTTCATTTGTGTTTGGAACCATTTATTTCACAAATATTTCTTGACTGCCCAGACCCTGTTAGAGGACCTCTGCCGTGAGCAAAAACCAGACATGGTCCTTGCCCTCAGAAAGCTTCCAGTCTGGCAGGAGAGACAGATGATAAACACAGGAACAAGTAGATATGTGTCAGGTGGATAAATGCTATGGAAAACAGCAGCTCAGGACAAGATAGAGAAAAACTGATGGAGGGGCTATCTGCAACAAGGCGGTCAGGGAGGGCTTCTCTAATGAGGTTCCCCTGGAGCAGAGATGTGGAATAGGTGAGGGGTGAGCCATGTGAATGTCTAGGGGGAAACATGTTCCAGGTGGAAGTAATAGCAAATGTGAAGGCCCTGAGATGAGGCTTTGTTTGGCAAATTGGAAGGCTAGCAAGGTCAGCGTAGGTAGAACAGAACGAGCAAGGGGAAGAAGATAGGAGATGAGGTCGGAAAGGGGACATTGAGCAGACAGTTCTATAGAAGGGTTTGTAGGTGCCCTGCCCAAACCGGAGAAGCCCTCCCTGGATGTCAGCTGCACACGATGGTGCACAAGCCTGTGGCTTCCGGCTTCTCTCTGCTCACAGATGCGAGCTGACTGCGGGAATGCTGGTGAGTGAAGGCCCACAGGAGTGACCCTTAACCAAGAAGACAGAAGAGTTAGTGACTGCATATCCCAGCTTCGTTGTCCCTCTTTGGGAAACCGAAGAGGAAGGCTGCTACAATCATTTAAGAAAGTGAGGATGGTCATTGCATCAAGGAGTAGCAGTGGGGGTAGCAGGCAAGGTGGGGGGGGGGCGCATCTCAGGGCCTTTGCACTCACTCCTCATTAGCCTGGATTAATTTTCTCCTGCACCTTTGTACCTGTGTCAAGGTACACCTCCACTAATCAGCTTGGTGTCACCTCTTCCCAAGGGTCTGGAGTCTCCTCTAGACTCACACAACTTCCCCAGTGTCCCCAACTCTGTGCTTAAATACTATCTTTTTCTCCGATCATCTGCCTGTCCAGCTGTAAGCTCGAGGGCGGAAACCATATCTGTCTTGTTCTCTGCTGTGTCTTTAGAACTTAGAACGGTGCCTTGCACACAGTGGGTGCTCAGCCAACGTTTACAGAATAAAAGAGTAGACTGAACATGAAGCAGAACTTTCTAAAATCCACAATATTCAAAGATGGGCAGAACTAAGGCGAGGGTAACTAGTTCGAATCCCAGAAGGAAGCCTGGACTGCCACATGGTCAGGATATTGCAGAAGATGAATCCCTCTGCAGGCTCGAGTGGGGGTTCAGGGGTGGGCAGAGGTCTGGGGGTGCTGATCCCTAACCAGAAAAACCCTGCTTGGTCACACTGGGCACACACCTGATCTTTTGTCACCCTCAGCCCAGGCCAGAAGGGATATGGCTGCTGGGACTTTGGTGTTTGGGGACTGGAGCCAACAAGATTAATGCTGTACCCATCCCCCTAGGATCTCCTTTTACTATGCACCCTCTTTGGATATCCTTGCCCACAGGCTGCTGAAGCCTCCTGGGGTGACTTATCTTCCGCCTAAGCTATAACCCATTATTTCAGAGATATGAAAGCCTACCTTCCTTGCCTGGGATGCTGGTGCCTGTGTGGGTGGATAACTCGGAGGTCTGACTTATATCCCACAGTCCCCACATGGGATCAGACTAAAGTTGCCATTCACAGGACACCTGCAAGGTCTGCTGGGTTTCTGCTCCTTCCCTGTCCTGCTTCCCCCACCCCTTATTGTCAAAAACTCCCCAAAACTCACATCTTACTCAGTAAAAGCCAAACTCCTTGCCCAGACCCATGAGACCCTGTCTGCCCAGCCCTGCCTCTCTGAGGCATTTCCTGCCTATCTCACCACTGTTTCCCTCTGCCCTCATGGCTGCATGTCTCCCTCCTTCCCTTGCTACAAGTCTTGGCTTAAATTTCACCTTCCCAGTGAGACCTTCCCCGACCACTTGCCTGCATTTAAAACTGTAAACCCCGCTCGTCCCCGTATTCTGATCAACTTCCTCTGCTCCACTTTTCCTCCTTTTTCTCATAGCATTTGTCACTTTCCAGTGTGTTGTGTAATTAACTTACTCGTATTTACTGTTAGTCTCCTTCTGCTAGAAAGGGAGTTCCGCGAGAGCAGGAATCTTTGTCTCATTTGTCACTGATGTATCCCAAATGCCTAGAACAGTGCCTAGTGCATAGCAGGTGGTCAGTGGTATTTTTGAGTGAATGGAGGAAGGAAAGAGCCAGAACTCTAACTGGGCAGATTCTCTTTGAGGCCAGGCTCTTAACCCCTATGCTGGAGGTGGGCGGTGGGAGTGGCAGATCGTGCCAGAACTTTTTGGCTAAGGTAAGGGAATTGGATTTTGTTCATAGATCCGTGAGAGGCTAGTGGAAGGTTTTGAGGGAGTATGGAACATGATGGAGTTTACTTTGTGAAAGCATTCTCCGGCTGTGGGGCTAAGATGGATTAAAAAGGGGGAGGGGAACAGCCCCAGGAGTGGGATATTAAGGGTGGGAGAGTGATGATGGGGACTTGGAGAGGCAACAGGACCGTAGCTGCACTGGGGCTGGGAGCAGCAAGAAGCCGGCTCAATACCCCAATTCTCCAGGCAACCTGGGTGGTTGCCTCATGGGTTCTGGCCTGTGAGTAGTCCAGGCCGGGCCTCCCAGCTGCTGACAACGTGCCCCTGTCCCACAGATGGACTGTTTGCTCTCCTGGGTGGTCCCCAGCCCCTCTCTGCTTCCTTTGCGCCCTTGTGGGCTTGGCAGGTGGAGGGGAGGGCTCCACTCCTTCTCCTCCTCTGACCCAGAGAATAATCCTTATATTCATACGATCTTCCTCTGTGCCCTCACCTCATCCTCCCACACCCCCTAGTAACACAGAAACCTGATTCCCATAGGGCAGATGAAGACACTGAGGCCCGGAAAGGGGATGAGACCACGCTGAGATCATGCAGCCAGATGGGGACGCCAGGTGGGGACCTGTCTTCCAGCTCCCCTCGCCCCGATTTCGTCAGGCAACAGACGGTCCCGTGGCTCGACTTGAAAAATCTTAAGTGACCTCAAAGAGAATGCAAGGCCAGAACATTCCAGGCCTCCCTGCACTGGATTTTACTACTACCTTGAACACTA